GAGAGGGAAGTCTGGGCATCTTTGCTTAGACTGCTGCCCCCACGACCCGGTCCCGGATAAGCGGAGGAAAATGGATGGATGGAGTAAACTCGCATGTTGACATTTGGCATTTGTTTTACGCCGGATGCCCTTCCTGACGCAACCCTGATTCGAACCCTCGTCGTTGCGGCCGGGGTTCGAATCAGGGTGCCAAATGTCAACATGCGAGTCGTCAGTGTGACGATTCGCTGTGGCGACCCCTAAATGGGAAAAGCCGAAAGTGACTTTCTTAGAGTAAATATCCACAGAGAACCAGTCAGTTTGTGATGACTGTCTGGGACTTGCCGTGGATGTTCCAGCCAGCACAGACTCAGGTGTGCACGGACACCTCGTGTACTGCCCTCTTCTGCTCAAGTGCATCACAGCACTGCCCTTCCTCACGCTGCTGCAATCTTCCTCTCTTTGACATCGAAATGCCTTTGTCAAGCCTTAACTCTGCAGGCGTGCTTCGCCGACTGTCAGCAGTCAGGCCCACCTTCGCATCTGTCCCGGAACACGAGCAGCTGCCCATTTGAGATGCAAGCAGTCAGCGTCCCAGAATTGAACATCTTAAGAACTATGACTATGTAACCTTGTGGAATACCTTCATGTCAGTGTGACACCTCAGGTTTGATTCATTAGCACAACAAACCAGGACAACAGATGGCTCTCAGAGAGGAGCTGCTACATCTCTTGTAATGATGATGCTCCCTCTGATGATAAGTTTACTGGTGCTTGTTTTCCTGCTGTGTTTTGCAGCGGAGAGGAACCAGCAGTCCCCTCCTTTATGCTCTCATTTTGGCAGCACTGATGTTACTGGAAAGTGATTAAATAGAGAATGAGAAATATAGCTGAAGTTTTATTCATTTATTAACATTGTTTATTGTAATTTTAGGACAGAATTTACAGCACTACCTTTCTTCCCCCTTTAGGTAATTTATATGTCTTAATAATGACTCTCCAGTGGCTTCTTAGTAATGCTGTTAAGAAGACTAGAGATTAATGAGATTAACGATGGCGCTTCAGATTCATCTTTCATTTAGTCCTAGCTAACTGAGTAAATAAACCTCCTGGCCCAGTTTGCAGCATGTCCTGGTTTTGTGCAGACAGATGAGTGTTGTTGTCTTCCAGGATGGTGGATGATCTGCACCGACTCCTACAGGCTGCTGGGATAGCCAAGCCCTTCATCCTTGTGGGGTCTGAGCTTGGTGCGCTTAATGCCAGGTTTTACAGCCACATTCATGATGTGTAAGTATTGAACAGTGGAAACAACTGCAACTTGGATATCTTGGAAGTGTAATACTAAATTACAACCCATTTGATGAAAAATGATGTTCTTTATGTCATTTTATTGAGCAGTTATGCCAAATTAGGGCTATAAACCACCTTATTTTAAAATGATTTAATCTTCAGTAACTGTAATGTAACAGTTTAACATCAGTGGTGTTGTCATTCACAGATGGCAAAGTAAAATAAACAACACAATCCAAAGTTTTTCGTTTACTTATTTAGTGATCTAAGATGGACATTGCTGTAAATGCACAAAAGGCTATTTTTCATCTTTTGTCTTTTACAGTATAAAGAATGTAAGATTAGACTTACAACAGTTTTTGAATAATTTATAAGAATGCTTAGTAATAAAATGTGTACAGGCACGTAAGGACAGACTGGTGATAGCAGCAGGGCAGTAGGTGACAGCCGCTAGCAAGTACATAACGTAGACAGACTGAAGGCGGCACTACATTAGTAGTACACATCCAGTTCTCTTATATGTGCAGGGACAGAGTTGCCCTTTTTAGCTTCAACAGAGAATATGGACTGACTAAAAGCACAACTGAAACCCAGTAAAATATGTTAAAAGATAAGGCTGATTTATTCTACATGTATATATTTCTTGTTGTTGTCATGTCCCATGAGAAAGCCTAAACCAAAAGGGTGTTAGTCCGTTAGTTCTCTCACTACTTTCCTTCTTCCCTCCCTTGTCTGTGGCTGTCTGCCCCAAGTCCACGGCTTCCTTCTGAAGACTAAATCATTAAAAGCATCTAAAACAGAGACTGAATAAGCTACAGTGTGTGTCCATGTAATGAAGAAACATGTCACAACAGTGCAACAGTGAGGTTCACTGATGTGCTTTTTATAGTTTTTGGACTTTCAGTTTATTTGGGATTTTGGATGTTTTAGTTTTTTACCTTTGGTGTTGGTCTTTCATGGGATTTGGTGACAATAAAAAAAAAACAAAATAAAAACACTCTCACCAGACTCCCTTAAATATTTAAGAAACCTTAATACAAATTTAAAGATGACTTCTTTCAAAATGTCTTTATAGCATACAGTATAGTATACACTGCCTCTAAAACCCATCTTAAATTATACTTCAGTGGCCATTTAGTCATCTCTTAGGCAACGTAGCGATTAACTTGACCAGCAGCCTGTACCAGGAATGAAAAATTTAGTATTTAATCAGACATGATGTTGCTGCTGTTAAGGAAGAAAATTAAGTAGTCGTGAGGGGATGGTGCCTTTCCAAATCGAAATATTGCCCCCGGATCTGCTGCATGTGTGGTCATCTGTCTCTGAGGACACAGGACAGACAAAAGTACAGGAAGATAGAAAGGATGATGCCACCCATCTCACACTCATTACTGACTAGGGTAATCACTGAGCCTTACTTCATCTGAATGTGTGTGTTTGTGTGTCCTCTCTTTGTCTCTTAGGCAAGTGTCAGACCTGGTGCTGATTGATCCCATCCCAGAAGACATTTTTGAGGAGGAACAGTGGAACGAGCACTGGTGAGTTTGTAGGAGGCTTCGGGGATATAGGAAGGATAGAAGTGGGGACAAAAGTAAGGCGACAGAAGCAGAAACTAGACAGGGCTGTGAAGAAGTAGAATGGAAAAGATGACTGAGAAAAGAGGTTAGTGCAAAGAAGCAAAAGGGATGATAAGGAGCTCTGAAGGGCAGAGAGGAGCAGATAAAAGCAAGAGGCAGGGATGAGGAGAAGAAAAAGCAATGTGTCCAAAAAAGACAATTAGACAAGGAGAAGGGAGACAGACAAGCTAGTGTTGCATGAGGCAAACTCCAAGCTCTTCCTTATTGGCTTGTATGGTAAGAATAGCTGATTATTTTTGCTGGGTGGGGCTCATTGGCATGATTAATTGGAGGTCAAATAAGCTCATTAGCTGATCACACTCTTGGCATGAAGAGTGAGGGCTGTGGCAGTGGGCGGGACTGAACGTGTAATGACAGCTTTCATCCTCCAACGAAGATACTGTATGTCAAGTGGTAGTCGTTGTCATAGCGTAGATTTCATTAATTATCCTATGGGTGACAGGTTGTTATTAATGGCAACCAAAAATGTGAACGTTAATAAAAGTGTTAATTCTGCAACACAAACAGTATCTCAGATTGTTTAAAGCATGTCATGTGTAAACATTAAAAGGCATTTCACTGCTGAAGAGATGGTAAATAGTTCTTTGTTTTAGCAAACCATGCCAAGCTTTTAGATGTATAGTAGCTGACAGCTTAGCAGCATTATAGACAAATCTGTGGATTGCATCTCTAATGTGCTTTTCACACAGACACACACAAAAAGTTACAAACATTATTTATTTATTTGCTAAAAACAAATGTACATAATTACACAAACAGTTTGGGACAAAGGACAAAAAATGACTGCTACTTCCAGTAACACAGTGCTCTCAAAACTAGATTTTCTAGGGCGTATTATTAAACATTATACTGTACCTGCATACGATGACGCTGTGAGTACAACCCCAAATCAGAAAAGGTTGGGACGGTATGTAAAATCCAAATTAAAACATAAAATAATGATTTGTAAATCATCTGTGTCCTGTATGACGTAGAAAACAACACAGCAGCACATTATTTGATGTGATACCTCATCAATTTTATTCTTTGTTCAAAATAAACACATTTCAATTCTGATGCTGCAACGCATTCCAAAAAAGTTGGGACAGTAAAGCATTTACCATGGTGTGATGTTGCCGTTCCATTTTTGTTGAAGCTTTTTTTTTTTGTCATTGTAACATTGTGACCACCCCCACTGTTGCTGGTCATCTTTTTTAAGTTGTTGTTGTGGTAGGTCTGTCAGTATGATACCACTGTTTACAGTAATTTTGTGATGACCTAGAATCACTAACGGGAAGTTAATAAGTCAGACATGACAGAACAAAGTGTGGTAAAATCAAGTAATCTCATTTTTAGGCATAACTCTATGACTTAGTGTCATAATTTCATCCACTGATATTAGCTCACAGCTTATATAAGCACAAGTCAATTGAGATAAGAAATAGATCCCTGAAAATGGCCTAATTTGTACATGACTCAAAGTAGAGCAGCAGCATTTATCAGGGCTATGTGTCCAATTATTCTTTGATTAATAGGCATTCATTTCACTGAGTACATGACGGTATAGCCACAATCTAATTACTCTGTGGAGAAGCAGTAGAGAAATGAAATGAACCAAAGACTTGCATTACTTCATAAAAAAATAAGTTTATTATTCCTGTTTGATTTCCATGGCAGAGTAAAGACAGAAATAGGAATGGGATGAACATTATGAAGATGTAAGAGATACGGCACAGCACCACACATCACAGCGTCTCAGTCTCACTGGCATTCTTCAGCTTGCTCTTCTTCCTTTCTTACTTTTTTGGTTCAGCAAGGTTGCGTGTAGTTGTGCATTTTCCTCTCTTTGATGCGGGTGCATTAGCTGTCGGAAGTCTTACGGTATTGAGTACACGAGATAAGTAATGCAGAAGGGAGCAGGGCAGCACCTGAGCAGGATTGTATCAGCTTTGTATTGGGACCAGAGGATTTCCACATCAAAGGCATGCTCATTAACAGAGGCTCACTCCCAAAATTAGTTCTGTTACATCCTACAAAATGATTCGCCAGCATCTCCTGAGAACATTTCTGCATGTTTGTGTGTGTCTGTGTGTGCACTTGTTGTAAAGGGCCGACTTTCTTATTTGCGTCTTTGTTCTGCAGGCGTCACAGCATGTGTCTGATTTCCTTGCGGCCACAGATAATGCTTCCTGATGAAATATCAAGCAGTGGGTCTATCGTCAGAGATTAGAAGAAGCCCTGGCGTATGTCTAGACAAATTGCATTCATGACAAAAGCCAGTGGGTTGAGTCTGTTTTCAGTCTTTGTTTCACCAACACAAGCAGAGGAAGCTCTGCAGCTCTACATCTCTCTACCCATGTGTGATTGTTGAACATCCTCTCACAAAGCTATCGCTGATAATATGCCACAAGAACATTAGTCAGAATTACACTTTGTGTTACGTTTCATCCCAACGGCATTGGATGGACGTTGGAAGTGGATGTGGAAGTTCACACCACACTTGAAAGGTACTGCATTATGGACCTGCGTTTTTGCAGCCACAAAGTTAGAAGCACAACTGTGTAGACTTTAATTATATTCCATAACATTAAGATTTCCCTTAATGGGAACTAAAGCTGTGTTTCAATGGGCTTTACTTAAGTCCGCTTGAATCACGCCAAGCTGCACCAAGTTTGGGAAACATATTTCCACAACGTCGCTGTAGCAGGGGATCGTCAGGTGAACTGAACTGAACTGATTGCTAACACGTGTGCTTGCTGGTGACTGAAGTGGAAGCTTCTTGATTGTTGGCTCTCAGTACCTTTTTGGTTTCCCGTTGAATTTCTGTGGTGTTTAGTTTATATGCCTGTTCATAATTACACTGTCATCTTTGTAGTTGCTAATAGCTCAGCTTGGTGCCAGAATCCCTGGCCATCCTAAGAAATCCACACTCGGGGCCAAGCCCAAACTCTGAAAGACACATCTCATTACTTTTGGCCACTTTTTGTGCTCTGCTATAATAATCAAGCTTTCTGGATTCTCTAGATAAGCATCACTGGCCAGAAGTTTGACCTAGAATTAGACAAATACCATTCAAGCTTAAAATAATTATCACTAAAGGAATTGCACTGGTAATTCTTTCATCTTGGGTTTAAAAGAAGGAATTGAGCATTTATACACTGAAGCATGCATGTCTCCTGCTTTTCTGCAGCTGAGTGTGTGAGTGGAGTATTAAAGTAATTACCCCATGGGGAATATATATTTGCTCAGAGAACAGTTGGGAATACTCTTCTCTAATGGTACGGTCCTTACAACAGAATGAATGCTTGTTGATTGGCAGGCTCCCTGTTTTAATGTACCATTACAGTGTTTTCGAGCACCGCTCGAAAGTCTCCCCATCCCTTCCCCCTGCGTCTCACTTCTTTTCGCTGTTAGTCATCAGTAGTTGTTTTACTTTGGTGATAATTTGAATACTTTGAGTTTGACGCTATGACGCAAAGCCTGTAGTTAGGGGTGTGGTTTGTGGTATTTAACTGAAGAGTTTCAAGTGAGATTGTTCTGTCTTATATTTGTGTGTATGCTGTATAAACCCACAGTGTATTGAGTGCCTTCTTTATGTGTATGAACGCATGATGCATTTAAGTGGCTGCTGAGAGAGCATATGATGTAATGAGCCTCTCAGTGTGGGCCTAACAGCTGTGACTGCAGGCCTGGATGGAAGCCCGATTGAATTATGAGTTCCAAAATGAAAATGACACTTTCTGTCCCATTCATCATCCTACCTGCCATTAATATGCTTCGTGAGGCCTGCACACAGCACAAACACAGCCCTGATCACACAAACATTTACACAGGGACTTACTCTGAGTGTGAACACCACACACACTCCGTTCCAAACTGCATGTTTTGTGGCTCACCTGGAGCCTGCCATGTATGACGAGCAGCGTATGACTGCCACTCTGACTGATGACTGTTCAGAGTAACACAACTGCTGATTTATAATCCAGACAGCATTTAATATCAGTGACAAGAAGAGTGTCTCTGTCCTTCCTCACAGCACTTTGTTAGCAGATAGATTTACAGACATAACAGACTTCTCCTGCTAAGTGTCTCTACTGTGCGTTTCATCTCTGTGACATTTAAACATTTCAGTTATGCTAAGACTATAGCAGTTGATTTACTTTAAGTGGCGTTATGTAATATGTGAGCATGTGATTGCTCTCTCTGTCTGCTCTCCCTTCATTTGTAAACAGTAGCCAGTATAACATGTCCAAGCTCCCCCTCAGCCCATTTGCTTTCAGTGTGAGCCGCATTCAATAACCCACTGGAGCACAGCCCTGCTTTGAACCCCTCCAGGGATCCTCAGCTGAGATTGACAGCAGTCACCTGACCATGGGTCGATGAACGGAGGGATATGGAGGAAAGAAAAGAGAGAGAAACAGAACTGCTTAGGACAGTGGGAAATAAAATGAAATGAAGATGTAGCCTGAAAAAAGCACGAGGCAGGGGCTATTTGTTGAGAAGAAAAACCCTGTATGTCTTTCAAGTGGAACATCCCAGCTGGATGGATCATTGGCATACTTGGTACAGACACTGGTGGGGACCAACCCCAGAAGTGATTAGATTTTGGCTGAAAGGGTCAAAGGTCAAGGTCACAAAAAGAATGAAAACAAAATCACAAAAAAATTCTTTAACACGGGGCAAAATAAAAAAAAAATTGTTAAAAGGTATCAAATCATTTTTGTTTTAAATGTGACGCATATGTAGGGTAGCAATGTCTATCGCCAGACTAAATTCCATCCGGATCTGACGGCCATTTAAAGCCAAGATTGAAAACCCCATTTAACATACATTTTCTGCCATAACTTGGCCGATAATGAAGCTAGAACCCTGAAATGTTCAGGTAAGATGCAGTGTAACTGCCTATCACACCCTAAAAGATG